ATCCCTTCATAAGGGATCTGGAAGATGGGGTCAAATGTACCCTGCTGTAGCTTACTGATGGTACCAAATTGAGTGTGGAAGTGGACACTTTGAGAGAGCCAACCTGCAGGAAGACCTGGATAGGCTGGAAGAGGCATCTAACAAGAACCTTATGAAGTTCAACAAGGATAAGTGAAAGGACTTGCACCTGGGAAAACATAATCCAGGAGTGCAGTACAGGCTGGGATCTACCTGGCTGGGGAGCAGCTCTGTGGGAAAAGGACCTGGGTGGTCCTGGTGGACAACAGGCTCAATATGAGTCAACAGTGGCTGCTGGGGCAAAGAGAGCCAACAGGATGCTGGGCTGCATCAAGAAGGGCATCACCAGCAGAGATAATGAAGTCATTATCCCACCCTACTCAGTGCTTGTCAGACCACACCTGGAACACTGTGTTCAGATTTGGTCCCTGCTATACAAAAATGATGTGCATGGGCTGGGGAGGGTCTAGAGAAGGGCCACCAAGATGATCAGAGGACTGGGAGACCTGGTCTATGAGGAAAGACTGAGAGAACTGGGTTTGTTGAGCCTTGAGAAAAGGCGGCTTAGGGAAGACCTTATCACTGTGTACCAGTACTTAAAGGGTGGCCACAAAGAAGATGGAGACTCCCTTTTTACAAGGAAAAGATGAGGAGCAACAGATACAAGTTACTCCAGGGGAGATTCCAAATGGAAACAAGAGGAAAATTTTTCACAATGAGAGCAACTAGCCATTGGAATAATCTCCCCAGGGAAGAGGTAGATTCTCCAACATTGGACACTTTTAAGATTCGGCAGGACTTTCTCTTTGAGCAAGTGGGATTTGCTGAGCAAACATAGATTTTTATATATTTGATCTGGACAATGAGATAGAGGACTGGTAAAGTAGTTGCTGTGTCTTTGCTGCTGTAATCTTAAAATAGGTGGCCGGTATGTGATCCTGGAATTTTTTCCCATTTTAGGGAGTTGAGGAGGTTCCAGATACACTGGCAGAAGGTTGGTTCTAAAACTGTCCAGCAGAGGAAGAAACATGACGCTTTTAAAAGTGCAAAGTGTTTTCAGAACAACGTGGGTCTTTCCTTGTGGTGAGAAATGTGATGGAGCAGCAAACAGTGATATAAATGGCGAAAGTTGAACTCGAGCAATTTAGATGAGGGATGTAGATATTGCATGTTATTTTGGCATAACTAGTAAAGTTGCATACATAGGTAGGACAGAAAAACAGCTCTTCTAAAAGAAAAACAGAACAGCATTTTCTTTTGCCATGGGCAAAAAAAAAAAAAAAGGAAGAAACTATTATTCAGGTCATCTTTATTCTCTCTTACAAGACAAACAGAAGCCTACGGAGGCAGACAAATATGCACTTGCCTTCATCAGGTACTAATACAAATACTAGCAGTGGTGGTGTTGACACTTTCTTCAGAGGAACCGGGGATTTGAGGACTCTCTTCTCTTTAACACTAGTTATAAAATTGATTTCCTGGAACTATGTCTATTTATCCCAGTACAGCCAATGAAAGAACAAGCTTGCACATGTGAAATAGCGATGTTAAGTGTGAAACACTGGGAATGTTTCAATCTGTTGAGGCACTTGTAGTTCAGTTGAGTGGCCACCTGTGAGCATGAGAAGTAGTGACTGTAGCTCTAACCATCACCCCCAACATAAGTTACTTCTTATTGTACTAAATCCTTAATCCTTGCCTTGGATGCTTTGGCTGAAGAGCCCTTTTGTTGCCATGAGAGTCAAGTTTAGAAGTAGAGATGACCCTCTTCTAGCCATCTTGAGATCTTGCTAACCCCAAAGTTACCATCAACGCACTCCAGAACCTCCTGGATTATTTATGTCCTGCTGTGTTGTCCCTCTAACAGATATCGGGGTGGTTAAGTCCCCCTCTGAAGACCAGGGCCTGCCAACGTGAGGCTGTCTGCAGGCTATAGAGGGCCTTATCCACTTCGCCCATCCTCTTTTTATTCCTAACTCATAAACTCTCTATCAACACCTCATCCATCCCCAGGCAGGACTCCATGCTCTCCAGCTGCTCTCTCATGTAAAGGGCAACTCATCATCTTCCTGTCCTGTCCTTCCTAAAGATCCTGTACCCTTCCAATGCAACACTACAGTCATGGGAGTCATCCCACTATGTCTCCGCGATACAAAGTCGTAGCCCTGCACCTTCACACAGATCTCTAACTCTTCAAGTTTATTCCCCATACTGTGTGCATTAGTGTACAGGCACTTTAGAGATGCACCCCAGCACGTTGAGTTCCTGGAGAGGGTTTAGGGTATTTGTCCACAAGGTGCCTTCTAGACACCTTGCTGTCTATGTGCAAGTGCTAGAGGTGACCATGCCCAAGGACCCCTTGCAATGCCATGCCACTCCATGTCCCTTATTCAGCAGTCCTGTCCTTTGTTCCCAACACAGGACTGCTGGTCGCTCTGTCCATCCCTCATCATTCCCAGTTTAAAGCCCTCCTTATGAGGTCAGCCATCCTATTGGCAAAAATAGCTTTGCCCTGCTTTTGAGGTGGATCCCACCTCTCACAAGCAGATGGTGATCAGCAAACAGGGTCATGCGGTTACAGAACCCCAAATCATGTTTCCAACACCAATTCCACAACCAGTTATTGATTTCTTCTATTAGTGTCCTCCTCTTCCCACCCTTTCCTCTCACCAGCACCTTATATGGTGAAGCTGCATAGGGATGCTTTTTCCAAGAGCTCCTGCAAGACTGGGTTGAAAAGGCTCTTTTTACAGATTCAAAGGTAATCTAATCACTGGCTTGTTTTGGCTTCGAGGGCTCAGACTCACTGATACTGTAATGGTTAGTTAAATATTTATGTCAAAGAGATGGCATGAGGATAAACACAGGAATGGGGCTTATTTGCAGAAGACAAAAAATAACAGAGATATGCTGCCCCGAGTCTCAATTTCCCCTTCTTCTGCTTCCCCCTTGCATGACAGAAATTGCTCTCTACCATCGAAAGTGTTAATGAAGGAACTGGCCCATATACCAGCAAAACCACGTTTGGGTTTTTGTAAGAATTATGGGTTACTCTGCCTGTGCCACGCATAGACCAGACTAGCTCTTCCCATTAATTCTCCCCAGCTCAGGTGAACCAGAGAGTAGTTTGTTCTACAACCCTGGGAGAACTTTCGCATTCCCTGGATATATATCTTTTCCCCTTGTTTTCTAAGTAAGCAGACACAGAGCTTTCATTTCATGCATGTACGAGGAATGCATTAAAAAAAATGAAACAAGTGCCAAAAGAACTGTCTCTTATCATCATTACGTCTGAATTTTCACTGTGGGGGTTTCAACTCCCTTTGCCTCCTGATTCTCAATCTCACTTACTTCTGTGTAATACGAATGTCAAAAGAATAACAGTGGGACCTTTCGGCAATCGGTTGGGAAGACACCTTGAGTGGCTGCCAGGCTGAAAAGATGCTCCTAAAGAAATTATTAAAAATCTGCTGCAGTGAAATAGGAAGAAGAAAGGCCGTGGCGGATATAACAGCAACGAAAGCCTTATGCTGGCTCAAAGACAAAACGTCCTACTTAGTCTAACTGTTTCTCACAGGCAAGTTAATACTGGGGTCACCCCTGTGCATGGGCAACATCTTAAAATAATAAATATTGCCTTCAGAAAAGGAGTTGCGAGGAACTTGAAGCTAGCTGATGTATGTTGTCATGTCCCTCAAGGCATTAACATCTGATGTGCTTTTAGGAGATGAATCAGGCTCCAAAATTATCCATGTAAAAAAAAAAAAAAGAGCTTCCAAACAAGCATAAATAATAACAATAATAATAGTAAATAATAAGAAAAAAAGAAGTAATAAACAGTTGGGTTTAGATATCACCTTGATTTTTTTCTGCACCTGTGAACCTGAGTGGTGTTTCTCAGTGGGATGCAGGTATCTCATTTCAGTGTGAAAGGAGATATCTGATGCTAATGGAAACTTGCAAAGGTATGAGCTTGGCAAAGAAATCCAGAGTGATTAATAAACCACAGAGAAGAGTTCCTTCCTTTATGATCTACATACGGCTGTCTTAGGGCTTGATCCAACTCCCAGGAGCTCCAGTGAGAACTCCAGCTGAGCGCTACTGGTTAGAAATATCTCCACAAATCTTGCTTCTCTGGAGTTTAGGTCCCTCAATGTGACTTTACGACAGTTAGCTCTCAAACTTGGAAGCAGACAGTTGCTTCTGAAGCACTGCAGAATGTTATCATACACAAAATGAGACATACAGCAGAAAAAAAGACTGTCCTTAGCTGCATCAGAAGACAGCAGTGAGAAAGACAAGGGTCAGAGGAAAGTTAAAAAGAGCAGTTCTACAGTGTTTTTTCCCTCTATTCACAAAGAGTGGTGGTTGTCAGTGAGGAGCTGTTGCTAAAGATAATAATTGGGGTTACTCTTCTCTCTTTTCTCAAGTTTTCTCCCGGCCATTGGCAGCTGGAGAGCAAGAGGAGGTCAACTAACCAGTAGAAGCTCCAGACTATGCATGTGACCACATCCTGATGTTAGGCTACTGTAAGTTTAATAAAACAAACCCTGCAACACGGAAAGAAAATTCCATTTAGGAGAAGCAAGCTGCTTAATTTTCTCCTCCACCATCAATAATCATAACAATAATTGCCACTACTATTTTTTTTTCTAATTACAGCTCCAGGTAGAAAGGAAGAATTGATCTCTTTCCAGTTAATGTTATATATTCTCCAGCTTCCTTTTTACAGTCGAAAGGGAATGGATTAATCTCACTGAGAATTCTATTTTACGCCAAATAGATCAGCTAACTAGCCTTAATATAAGAACCCTATTGCACGGGGCAGCTTGTTGGATCAAAACTCCACTGGATGGAATGCCCAGAACACAGGAAAAGTAATTCCAGCACCAACAAACAGCTGCTCATAAAGGGAACACACAACGTCTTACAGGAATGTGGCAGGAGGGTAAGAAAGCCCAGTCTTTAAGAGTGGTACCTACCTATTGTGTCTCCTTGCTCATGCACCATGGAGGCCAGGTCTTTAATGATCTGGTTCACATCCAACATGTCGCTCTGAAAAGACAGTGAGTCTAACGTTAATGATGAATGGGTAATACCCAAGCATAAAAGACATGTTCCACAGTCAAGCTTTGCAACTGGAAAAAAAACCAAAAAAACCACACCAAAGCCAGAAAACCTTGACTGTGTAGAATTAAAAGAAAAAGTTATAATGTTTCTATAGTAAATTGAAATTCCCCTTAAACAAAGCCACGGTTTGCTGGATCTAAATTAGCCATTTGACTCCAACTTTCTATAGAAACAAGCAGAATGATAAGATTACACAGTTGCTTTTCAGAATTGTGGAGGACTAAGAGAGGAAAAAAACCAACAATAAAATAAGCAGCAAACCCTTCTATTTCTGAAAAAAAGTTGTTTCTGATGCAGACCATTCATCCCAGAGTGCAGATTCTTTAGACAGGAAAAGGCCATCTTTCAGGATATCAACTATCTGATAAATTACTATTCTCAAACTGATGGGGATATGATCAAAAACTCACTGAATTTGAAATCTCATTGGTAAGGCAATAAGGAAAGACCTGTCTGATGAATGGATTCATTTATGTATTTTCAAGAGTAAAAAAAAAAAAAAAAAAAAGAGTAACTAGATTCAGCGCTGAAATTTTCTTAGCTAAAACCCAGCAAATTCCAGTGAGCTGCAATAGTTTCAGTAGTTCCTTTTCTTTCTTGAACTGAGGAGCCCAGAACTGGGCATGGTACTCCAGATGTGGCCTCACCAGGGCAGATTAGAGGGGGAGGATGACCTCCCTCAACCTGCTGGCCACATTCTTTCTAAGGTACCCCAGGAGACCATTGGTCTTCTTGGACACAAGGGCACATTGTTGTCTTATGGGCAACTTATTGTCCACCAGGACTCCCAGGTCTCTCCCTGCAGAGCTGCTTTCCAGTAGATCAACCCCTAACCTGTAGTGGTGCATGGGGTTATTCCTCCCTGGGTGCAGGACCCTACGCTTGCCCTTGTTGAACTTCATTAGGTTCCTCTCTGCCCAGCTCTCTAAACCTCCCCAGGTCTTGCTGGATGGTAGCATATCTTGCTGACGGTGACACAGATTCCTAAGAATCTGCTTCTCCTGAGGCTAATTGCACAGTAATTCATTTATCTGCTTGGGTCCTGTTGCAACTCAGTCCATCATGTCAATAGTTCCATTTTCTTCCACCCTACTTTTAAAGACCGCAGCTTCCTTAATGGCAAATTTAGAAAATGGTGCAAAAAGAATCCACGCCCTTCTACTGGAGTTTGTTCTGAGAGTGTAAGTGGTGTAACATTTAATCATATAATGCAATAGAATAGCATTAATTTGCAATGAAACCTAGGAGTCCCACTGTGAATTCTAGAACACACCAAATTTTTGAGTAACTGAAGAAGTAGGAGAAACAAAAGGTTTACAAGTTGTGATGAATTATAATAAAACAAAACCAAAAAAAACCCCAAAGACTGGGTAATGCATCACAAAATGAACTTCATTCATTGACTTGTCAAGTACAATGAAGCTTTAATTATGTATGGTATTATTCATAACTTGTAAATACTGCAGAATATTTTGTAAAAGCAATGAAGTTTAAGTAACTTGAGATTGCTCTTGAGCACTGTGGTAGTAAATCATTGCCAGGAAACGAGGAGAAATTAGCTGTGATTTTTTGGGATGGGGGAGTTGCTTCTGTTTTTTTTGTAAGAATCTTTAAAAGGAGAAAGCTAAAGTTTAGCAAAATGCTAAGAACTGAGAATTAACTTTAAAGTGTTATTCTGCTCTCATTTAACTGGTTAGTAAAAGATGATTAAGGAGAAATTAAACAAATAATAATACTAAAAAAGCCCAGAATTTTCATTTGTCTCTCCTGGCTAAATTGCCACTGACATCAGCCTTTGGTTTCTGTTACTTAAAACATAAACAAAATTCTTTCTACCCTTCAGTCGGTTTTTTTGGTTCTCCTTATTTTACAGCACTTTAAGTGAAAGTAGCTTAAGACTCATGAACTTATTTTTGCATGTACAAAAGATAGAGGTTATTGCAATATATTGAATTATACACGCCCCTTCCAAGTATTTCCATTCATTGGAATAAAACAAGTGGGCCAACTGGTGTGAGGAAGATTAGATGATATCTTGTTAACGTTCCTCCGCGGGTAAGAAACACAGCAGCACAAGGCAGCAGCACTCGCTGGGTCGGGCAGGAAGGAAAGAAAAAATAAATAAAAAAGTCGGTTGCCCAAAGAGATCGAGCCATGGTTATAACTCGATAGAAGGCTGTTAAAAAAAACCTGTGGGTACCCAAACAGAGGCCACGCACAAACATGCAGGAATCCAGGCAACTGGCTGCAGTGAGTGCTGGAACCTTGGGACAGAGGATGGTGGAGACAACACCCGTGTTAGGTGTGAGCAGATCCACCATCTGCTTAACATGGTGGCTGAACTGAAGGAAGAGGTGAAGAGACTAAGGTCTGTAAGGGAATGTGAAAGGGAGTTAGATTTGTGGTCTCAGGCTCTGCAGACCCCCTTAGCAGAGGGAGATGAACAGTGGGGAATGGACACAGGTGCCTGGAGAGGCAAGGGAAACCCCTCACAGCCCCCCTCACCTTTCCAGCTGCCCTTGCACAACAAGTATGGGGCACTGGAGGTTGAAGGTGATGAGAAGGTGGAAGAAACACCATCTCAGGGGTTGCCTATAGCAAATCAGTTCCCCTCACACCAGAACTAGTACCCTAAAAAAACCAGGGATTCACCTGAGGGCACTGAAGGAGCTGGCGGAAGTGCTTGAGGAGCCATATTCTATCATTGACCAGCAGTCCTGGCAAACTGGGGAGGTCCCAGCTGACTGGCGTCTGGCAAATAATGATCCAGGGAACTCCAGGCCTGTCAGTCTGACCTCAGTGCCTGGGAAGGCCATGGAACAGATCATCGCGAGTGCCATTGTGCAGCGCATGAAGGACACCCACGCGATCAGGCCCAGCCAGCATGGATTCACGAGGGGCAGGTCCTGCTTGACAAACCTGATCTCCTTCTATGACAAAGTGACCCACTTGCTGGATGAAGGAAAGGCTGTGGATGTTGTTTATGTGGACATTAGCAAGGCCTTTGATACAGTCTCCCACAGTATCCTCCTGGAGAAACTGGATGCTTATGGCTTAGATGGGAATACTGTCCTCTGGATTAAAAGCTGGCTGAAGGCCGGGCCCAGAGAGTGGTGGTGAATGGAGTCAAATCCAGGTGGCAGCTGGTCACAAGTGGTGTCCCACAGGGCTCAGTACTGGGACCCGTTCTCTTTAACATCTTTATCAATGATCTGGACGAGGGGATCGAGTGCACCCTCAGTAAATTTGCAGATGACACCAAGTTGGGTGGGAGTGTCGACCTGCTGGTGGGTAGAAAGACCTTGCAGAAGGATCTGGACAGGCTGGATGGATGGGCTGAGACCAACGGGATGGGTTTCAATAAGGCCAAGTGTCGGGTCCTGCACTTGGGTCACACCAACCTCCTGCAGCGCTACAGGCTGGGGGCAGAGTGGCTGGAGCTGCCGGGCAGAGAAGGACTAGATGATCTTAAAAGTCCCCAACCTAGGCAATTCTGTGATATATCGACTCCTATAGGATCCTCCTCAGCTAATTACCTGCAAAGGAGCTGAGCTGTGTGTCTGCTGATCCCTGGATATTATAACAACGAGGGAAGAATGAGAAAGGAAATTCAATACAGTATATGAAAAGAATATCTGTTTCAGATTTACCATTTATATCCAGGTACTTGGGATGAAACAGCCATCTGCTGCTGCAGAGTATAGATCCTTTTCATAACATTCTAACAGCACTTAAAATTATTGTTCAGCAAATATGCATTCCTTAAAAGCCAGCCACTGAGCTGTTTGGAAGGAGAAAATGTGACTACTGTATTTAAGGAAAAACAAAAAGGGGCGAGTTGTAAAGCACAGAGCACAAAGCATTCTGACCTGAAGCAAGGAATCTGTTGAATAATTTAACCTGGCAATGTGAAGGTTGGAAGTCACCACATATGTAAGAAAAACAAAAGAAAAAAAAAAAAAAGAACAAAGAAAAATAGCCAGAAATAAAGACCTTCCATGATGGAATATACCTCGCAGCTATGTTCCTGTTCCTTCTTGCCAGGTTAGCTCCATCATGAAGTACCTCTGAACTCACCAGCCATCAGAGTTTGTTAGCAAAATCGGATTGTCTTTGGTTTCCCATGTTTGCACATACAATGTGGAATCCACAGTGAAATGCAGCTCCTCATAAATCCCTTTGACTCCCCAGAAACCAGGAGTACAAGAGCTGCTACTGTTCCAAAAGCACTGCCTCCCTGCCAGCTAATGAGGCTGGGCTTTCTTGGGTTTTAATCAACACCAGCCTTTCTTATCTGACAACAATTCACTCCCTACGTTCGGCAGCAAGAGGGAGACATTTAAATTTTTTCATCTAAATCCTCTTTTTTAAAATTTTTAATTTTTTTTTTCCCCAAAGGGGAAATTTATCATAGACATTAATATACAGGATTTTATGTCATCCATGCTGGAACAAAAAGGATTAAGACTAGTCATCGGTAAAACCAGAGATGGCATAAAGAAATGGCAGTAACTAAAGATGACTAAAACAAGCAGAGAAATAAATAAGTCATGTAGATGAGAAAACCGGAGAAAAGAAAGATTTTGGGATCCTAACGATCTGGGACATTAACTCTCACTAGGGAAATTTAGTTTGGAAACTTCTTAGCAGAAAGTACTAGGTTAAAAATGGCAGGACTATTTGAGTCTATAACCTGACTTGGTAAGTGAATAATGTCACCACAAAGTACTGAGATTTAAAAAAAAAAAAAAAAAAAAAATCTGAAAATCCAACTCTGGCACAGAAACTGCTGGAAATATGCATTTGCAGATAAACCAGAAAGCTACATCTCTCATTTTTTACTTTAACAAGACCACATTTTCAGCATTTTTTAAATTAATCTGGGAGCAAGTTGGGTTGTAAAACCCGGACATTGTCACCAAGAT